ATCCCACGCTCATAAAAAAACAAAAAAAAGTCTTTCTTAGGTTAGTCTAAAAAAGAGAAAAAAAAAATCAAAGATTGAATGTTTGGGTATTTGGAAGAGAATACAAATCTGTTGAGTGAAACACATAATTGGAACATAGTGATTAATATTATTGGGAAACTTAGTTATATTTGTAAAATATAACGATTGTTTTCATGCACAAAACTAAGCATACCTACTCCATTAATTAGAAACCCAACTAATACAGTATGATTTTATAGCATTTTGATCATCGGTGTTTAACACGACACTACTTGATCGCATAATAAATTAATCAACTAATCCAATTAATCTGTTTTAATTTGAGTTTTGATCGATATCAATATCATATTCTCACGTGGCCTTATAATTACTCTATAATTTATTTATAAATGTCAATGAATCGTGGTAGAATAGTGACCTAAGATTTGACATGGATCTGACTCAGACGAACACTTTTATTTTCATCCTTTCTTGTCTTCAAGTTATCTGTCATTTGGTGCACACCGAAGGACACCATCCAGTTTTTTTCTTTATATTTAGTTTTGTTTAATAAATTAAGATTTTAATTGAAAAAAAAATCCCGAAATTAATATATTTTTGTAGACCTCTTCCAGAAAATGTGTCGTAAAATATGTTTTTTGAAAAATCATCTATATGATCAGACAATTAAAATAAACTCATGATTCATGGAATTTATTCAACCAAAATTTCACTGATAAAGTATAAAACTTTTACATTCTAGATGTAGGGGTTTGATATTGCAACAAAATAAATGGTTCAACCAATAAAACAATTTGTGGATTTTTTTTTGTTTTCAACATATACGATATATGCATATTTGACATAGAGTAATAATAACACAACAACAAGACTAACAAAAGCTGTGTGTTTGGTCTAATCAAGGCCGCCTCAATCATAACATGGGCTTCTTATTTATTTATTATTTTTTTTGTCGGCAACATGGGCTTCTTATAAACTTTCAAATAGGGCCTTCAATTTTAGAAGATAAAAGCTGTAAATAAACTTTTGTAAGGCCGGCAAAAATAAAAACAAAAACAAAAACTTTTGTAAGCAAAAATAAGGCCTACCTGTTAAAAACTTCAAATGTTGAAGTTCTTAGCGACTCTCTTAAAAATAAAAAGATAGTGTAACAACTAACAAGCACAATAGATGATGCATGCTATAAATTTAGTGCAGTATGAGTATTCATTTTTTGATGTTGCATATTCTTTGTAGAATCTTCATGTTTTTTTAGAATAATATTTTTCTTTTTTTCATTTTTTGATAATATTACTTTAGGAGGTGGTTAGAAAGATAAGAAAATATTAACATTCGGTCAATAGACCAGGAAGGTATTAAAAGAAAGAAAATTACTTAAGAAGATTTTTACAATGGAGGTTAGGTATCTCCAAACCACAGAGCATGGGAGTCACATAAACATTGTCTTTCCTTACGAGCCATGCAAGAATCTATGACTCCCATATCCACCTTTCTGAACAAAACCTTAGTCGGAAGAGATTTGTTGTTGAAGATGCGATCATTTCTTTGTTTCCACAAGGCGTAGATAATTTCTTGAGCCATTAGGAGCCTCAATTTACTTTCCGTAGTGGTTGGATAACCTCTTTTCAACCATCTATTAAAGACAGTCCATGTTCCAAACCCAACATAAGGAGCATTGAGCCTACGAAATCTCAATCTCAACACATCTTGACTATACATGCAACTAAAGAGAAGGTGATCTCTAGTCTCATGATAGATCTCATAAAGAACACAAGTGCTATCTTCAGTAACACCCCAATTAACAAGTCTAGATTTTGTATTCAACCTATCCAGACAAGCCAACCAAAGGATGAAAGCATGTTTAGGGATGTAAACAGAAAACCAAACCTCTATGTGCCACTGGACCTCAGTGAAAGGAGCTACCATTTGTTGCCTTACTTTAGAGAACTTGAAGCTGTCTTTTAGAGGACCAGCTCCATCTTTCCACGTATACACATTAGGTAGATCATTTGATAAGTTTATCGTTGTGAGGTGGGATAAAAGAGTTACCATATATTCACTTCTGCCTCCTCTGAAGTTCCACCCACTGTGTGTGGCTGCATTTGAAACTTTAGAGTCAATTGGGATCCCATAAGTGCTTGGCCCTGCCTCACCAATGAAGGAGATGAGCTTTCCAAATGGAGTCCAAGTATCAAACCAGATGGAGCAATTCTTCCCATTACCAACTGAGCAAGTGATGAAATCCTCTGCCAATGGTCTTAATTTCAGAAGTTGAGACCATGTAGAAGAACCACCACTACATTCTCTTACTTTCCAGAAAGAGCTCGTACCCAACTTATGTTTCCTGCACTAAGCCAACCAGAGGGAACCTGACTTAGAGAAAAGAAACCAGATAAGTTTAAGGCCGAACATTTTATTCCAAGAGGATAGATCTCTCAAACCCAATCCCCTTCCTGCTTTTGGAAAACAAACATGCTCTCATTCCTTCTCTGAGAATATTAAGGAATGACGATCTATTACCTGGTCTTGATATAAAAAATTCTGAAGATCCATAGGCTATGAAAGCCATCAATTTGTCTATTCATGAATCATGTGTATATATAGTTAGAGCGATGCATCTAGCTATCCGTGCTCCATCAAGACCAAAAAAAAAAAATTGTTTAGAGGTGTGTGCGATATGTACCATCATATGTTGTCTTTGAGCGAGGTGTGCTAGTCCTTTCTGTGCAAGTCATATACTGATGCAAGGTATGACTTTTGATAAGATCATTTGCACGTTTAGTATCTACGTGGCACATTAAAGTTGACGTATATATAATTATAATAGCTGAAAATGATCCTTAATAATTTTTAGCAACAAAAAAAAATTATCCTAAATAAACAAAAAGGAACAGCGCATGTAATATCTGAGGATAAAAAACCAAAAGCATGGATGAATAATACACTTTAGTTCTTGATCTGAGTTACAAAGATTTTATTGTTCTGTACAAATTTTATGTAGATAACAAACTGTCAAACTACGAGCGGAAAATTTATTGTATATTAGTATTAACGATGTAC